TTATATTTATATATTTATATTTATATTTATATTTATATGTATATTTATATTTATATTTATATTTACACTTATATTTATATTTATATTTATATTTATATTCTTTCATGTCAAATAGGTTAGTATGTAAGTCGAATGACTTTTATTTGATTTTATAGATGTCGAGTGTCAATGAACACATGAATTATTATAAAAATTATGTCAGAGTTTCATATTTTTTATTTAAAAATGCATTCACATTAATATTACGTTTGAAATATTTTATTCTATATATAAATCTACTAAATATATTCTTATAAAACAAATATATAGAAACTCGCTTGTAAGTTTCAAAGTCTTAACAATAACAATCTTTAAATTTTTTATAATCGTCTAATATACATATCAATTATATATATATATATATATATATATATATATATATAAATAATTTATTTATAAGAAAATAACAATTATCAAAATATATAAATATAATTTAAGCAATCGTCTCTTCCAGCCAAACAATTTTTTCCAAAATGGAATAAATGTTTCGTTTTTTAAATTTGTAATAAATATATATTATTTATTATTAAACAACCCGATTTATTTTACAATAACGCAACTACAAACAAAAAATCTAAACTTAAAATCTACTCTTATATTTATATTTACAAATTTGTTTTAATAAAACTTTATATAACAAATTTATTCAGATTGTAATATATTTTGTAGTCATTAAAATGTTGTAAACTAAGTCATGGTTGAATTTAAATTAACGTAACAGTTACGTAATTGATAATAATTGATATAAGATTAGTAACTTTTATAATAAATGGAGCGTAGAATATTTTTTTATAATTTCAAACTCAAAATTTAAATTAATATAAAATAAACGTTTTCGTTTGCAATATTTTTTTACAATTTCAAACTCAAAATTTAAATTAATATAAAATAAAAGTTTTCGTTTGCAATTATTAATTGTTTTAAAAAAAATCAAGGTTTGGTTTAAGTTAATTCTGGTTTCGTTAAAGTTACGTAATTGAAACGAAAAAAATCTCCTAAATTTAAATTAGATACTTATTTCTGTACAATTTAAAATTAAAAATTTTAAGTATTATAAACGTTTTCGTTTGCAATTATTTATTGTTGTAAAAAAGTCAAGGTTTGGTTTAAGGTAATTCTGGTTACGTAACAGTTACGTAATTGAAACGTTTATTAAAAAATCTCCTAAATTTAAATTAGATACTTATTTCTGTACAATTTCAAATTAGAAATTTTAAGTATTATAAACGTTGTCGTTTGCAATTATTAATTGTTATAAAAGAGTCAAGGTTTAGTTTAAATTTTAGTTCTTGTTACGTTATAGTTACGTAATTGTAACGTTTATTAAAAAACCTAAAACTAATCCTAGACTGTTTTATTACAATTTTCAGTTCGAAATTTTAAATATTATAAATGTTTTCGATTGCAATTATTAATTGTTGTAAAAAGTTAATGTCCAATTTAAGTTAATTCTGGTTTCGTTTAGTTACGTAATTGTAACGTTTATTAAAAAATCTCCGAATAATAATCACATTTACATAATCATATTTTTTTAATACATTGAACCTAGATACTTTTTTTCACAATTTTAAATTCGAAACTGAAATTATTATAAATGTTTTCGATTGTAATTATTAATTGTTGTAAAAAATGTAAAGTTTTGGTTTAAGTTAATTCTGGTTACGTAACAGTTACATAATTTAAACGTTAAAAAAATCTCATTTAAATTAGATAAATCATGGACTATTTTTTTTTACTATTTTGAACTCGAAATTTAAATTATCATAAACGTTTTTGATTGCAATTATTAATTGTTGTAAAAAATGACAAACTTTGGTTTAAGTTAATCCTGGTTACGTAATAGTTACGTAATTGAAACGTTCAATGAAAAAATCTCATTTAAATAAGATAGATCCTAGATTATTTTTTGCAATTTTAAAATCCTAATTCAAATTATTAATTATTTAAAAAAAAATCAAGGTTTAGTTTACGTTAATTCTGGTTACGTAACAGTTACATAATTACAACTTTTGTTAAAAAATCTCCGCATGAATTATTTTTGCCATGGAATTATTTACACAAATTATAAATTTAAAATGAATAATAATTTCGACTGCAATTATAAATTTAATTTGATTCGATTAACAAAGTTATGTTACACTTTAATGTAATTAATTACGGTTTCGTAACAGTTACGTTATTACAACTTTCATTAAAAAAACCTAAAATTGATCACATGAATTATTTTTGCAAGTGCATTATTTTTTTATAAATAAAATTTAAAAAAATATTATCAATGCTTTCGTTTGCAATTTGTGTTTGAATTAACTTTGGTTTCGTAATAGTTACGTAATTACGTAATTACAACCTTTATTAAAAAAAACCATAAGACTTTTACAAAAGTATTTATAATATTTTCAAACTCGAAATCTGAAAATAATAATTTAGATTGTATTAATTAACGTACCAATTATTAATTGTTTCAGTTATAATTGATATGATTAGTAACAGTTTCGTAACTAAAACGTTTATTAAAAATTCTCCTAGATCACATCCCTTCAACGTCTATATGTATATTATATTCTGGATTTTTTACAAGTGTTTTTTAAAATTATTTTTCAAATTTGGGATTACTTTTTTTGCTTTCTTTTTTAATAATTTTGGTTAGTTAGTATCTTACAAGTTGCCAACAACCTGTGCTCTCGTCCCTTTTGTAATAGTGCGGCCGATTGTCCCTAAAAACGGTCACGGCCGGAAACTGGTTGTCCTGGATGTACTTCAATGTGGCCCTTACCTAAAAAAAATGATTAAAAAATGATTGAAAAGAAAAAACTAAGGTATTGAGAATCAGAGTTTCTTAAAATTAAGGTCAATCACACAAAAACTTCAATTAAGTTGCTTAAAATTAAGGTCAATCACACAAAAACTTCAATCAATTCTAAAATTAAAATTCAACAAATTCTAAAAAATAAGGTCGATAAAAATCAGCCAACTATGGTCATTTAGCAAATTTTTGCAAACTAACGTCGAAACTTCTAAGTTGCTTAAGAAACTATAATAAATTAATATCAAATGGAACTTAGATAAAACACTTATATTCAGGTCACGAGAAACTATGGTTACTAAAACCTAAGGTTATTGAAAACCAAAGTCTTTTAGAAATAATATTCTTAATAACTCAGGTAGAAAAAAAACAGAAAAATAATGAATAAAAACTAAGGCCGCATAAATAAAATTTAAGGTCACAAAAATTAAGAAAGCAAAACTAGACAGATAAAAATAAGGTCGTAAAAATTGCAATTCATTAAGCCATGAAAATGGGAAAGCATTAGAAACTAAGGTCGTTAAGAACTATGGTTGTTGATTCGAAAAATAACATCCTTAGAAACTAAAATAAATTAATATCAATTGAAACTTAGATAAAAAACTAAGGTTACTAAAACCTAAGGCAATTGAAAACTAAAAATCTTTAAGAAATATCATCCTTAATAACTAATGTCGAAAAAAAACCAGAAAAACGACAAACAAAAACTAAGGTCGCATAAAGAAAATTCAAGGTCACAAAAATTAAGAAGGCAAAACTATATAGATAAAAATAAGGTCGTAAAAATTGCAATTCAAAAGGCTATGAAAATTGGAAAACATTAGAAACTAAGCTCGTTAAGAACTAATGTGATTACTAACTGTTGATTCGAAAAATAACATCCTTAGAAACCAAGTTTTTAACAACGGATTTTGAGAATTAGGGTCACAAATATTAGAAATGCAGAATCAGATAGATATAAAAGATAGAAACTGAAGTCATCAAGAAATAACGTCCCTAATAACTAAGGTCGAAAGTTAAGGTCTCAAATTTAGGTTTTGTAGAATAAAGGCCGCAAAAATTAAAAATGCAAAAAAAGAAAAAATTAAGGTCGTAAAAACGGCAACCCGAGAAGCCTTGAAAATCATTAGAAACAAAGGTAGTTAAAAACTAAGGTTGTTGATTTAAGAAATAACATCCTGAAAAACTAAGGTCGTAAAAACAAAGGTTTTGAGAATTGGGGTCACAAAAATTAAAAGTGCAAAACTAGATAGATAAAAATAAGGTTGTAAACACAATCGAGAGAGCTATGAAAATTAGAACTAAGGTTGCCAAGAAATAACATCCCTAACAACTAAGGACAAACGTTAAGATCGTAAAAACTTAATAAACTAAGGTCTCTAAAATCAAGATTTTGAAGAATAAAGGTCACAAAATTTGTAAATATAAAACTAGCGACGAATAAGGTTGCAAAAACAAAGGTTTAAAAGAACTAAGGTCAGAAAAAGTAAAAATGCGAAACTAGATAGCTAAAAATAAGTTCGTAAAAACTACAATTAAAATGCCATGGAAATTAGAAACCATTAAAAACTAAGGTTATTAAAAACTGAGGTCATTAATAACTAAGGTCATTAAGAAATAAGATCTTTAACAACTATGGTTAAAAACAATAAGAGAGCAAAGATTATTAAAAAAATAATTAAAAAATAACTGAAGGCCAATAGAAACTAAGGTCAGGAATCACAAAGGTTATTGAAAATTAAGGTCTTTAAGAAATAAGATTCTTAACAACTATGGTCGAAAATAATAAGCTTACAAATAATAAGGAAGCAAAAAATTAGAATAAATTAGGATAAAAACTTAGATAGAAAAAATTGATGGCCAACAAAAACTAAGGTTGCTAAAAAATAAGGTCTTTAAAAAATAGGATAATTAGGAATGAATTTATATAAACTGAGTGAATAAAAGAACTTATATAACGTATTATATAAATCTAAGGTTATCAAGAAATAGAATCCTTAAAAACTAGGGTCATTATGACGAAAGGACTTTAAAAACTAAGGTCGAAACTACAAATAGGGCAAAGTAAAAAAAAATTAAAATGAATTATGACTGATGAAATCTAAGATACAAGGAACTAAGGTCATTAAAAACTAAGGTCTTTAAGAAATAATATAATTAAAAACTTGGGTCCACACGAATAAAGGTCGTGAAGAACAAAGGTCTTTAGAAACTAAGGTTGAAACTACTAAGATAGCAAAAATAAGGTAGCAAAAAATTATACTAAATTAGGATTGATTAAAGCTTAAATGGAAAAAACTAAAAGTCATTATAAACTAAGGTCATTATAAACAAAGGTTGTTGAAAACTAAAGTTGTTGAAAACCAAGGCTGTCGAAAACTGAGGTCGTTAAAAACTAAGGTCGTTAAAAACTAAGGTCGTTAAAAAATAAGAATTTAAGCTCTAACAACTAAGTACATATAACAAGATAGCAAAAATTTTAAAAATAACGCTACTAAAAACTAAGATCGTAAAATAAAGGTTTTTAAAAATGAGGACAGAAAAATTAGAAATACGATAGAACTAGACAGCGAAAACTAAGGTCGTTATAAATGAAGGTCGTGAAAAATAAAGGTCTTTAGAGACTAAGGTCCAAATTACAAAGATAGTAAAAAAGAGAAAGCAAATTGTAAACAAAGAAAAAATATGAAACTTGAAGTAATAAAAATAAAGATCTAAAATCGCAGTAAAATTATGTTAGGACATACAAAAAAGCAGACCCAACCATTAAAATAACAAAATCTAAATCCAAATGATACCAGGACCACTGGTCTTCCTCTGTTCTATTTACCTGCATCACAAAATGTGGAGGTTCAACCTCCGGCGAAGTCGACAAATGTTGCAAAATAAACTCATCACTCTGCGCCAACCACAGATCGACTCCTCTTAGAGGATCATAATTGAAAGGGCCTATCCTCAGCATACCAAGGGCCGAATCGTAAACATCCAGGACCTAAATAAAAGAAAAAAATATTAACCATCTACATTATAGAACTATTACCATCTATCCTTTAATATATATAACTAGCAAACCCGACAAACTCCGTTTCGCCACCAGATGGTTTCGTGAGAAAGATGAAGAAATTTTTTGTTTGTTTTATATTTGAAAAGGAAAAATTTGATTTTATTATGACAACAGTAATGAATTTATTTCGATTACAAAAATCGAAGTGTTTTTTAGTTGAACTTCTCTAAGTAAATGAAAGTGAATCCGCAAATTATCCGTTTCATTGAAGTGCTGCTCTTTGGTAAACCCCATTTTTTGTTTTTTTGGTCTGACGTTAACACAAATAAAGCGGAGGGTTTTCCAACTCGTGAACGGGCAACGTATAACTGCCCATGTGAAAAACAATGATTTTCTAAATAATATATTTGAAATTTATCCCGAAAACACTAAGCGATTGGCCTTGAGACTTGTTTTGTTAATTGTCATTGCGAACTGGAAATTGCAATCGTTTGAAGTCAAACGGAAGACCAGTCGGAATCATTGGTATGTCACCAAATCGCCAGCAATTTTTGATTGAATGGTGAAATTCAGTGCGTGTACATATATATATATATATATATATAAATATATATATATATATATATATATATATATATGTAGCGGGTTGCCAACACGCATAGCGGCTTGTCAACACGCATCACATGTCTCTGGACAGATTGGCCCATATAGTGACAGCACTGAGAAAAACAAAAGGAAATTCAAGTGTCAGATCGTACTTGGTTTTTGTTTCTCTCTAGTCAAAATTTGCCAAAAATTATGTCTTGAATCCTTTCTTTTCAATTATAAATACAATATTACCAATAACATTTTATTAACGATCAATATGATAACACATAGTGTCGTCGTTATTAATCTTACGTAAAATAAACCAAATACAAATAATATTTCATAAAATTTATTATTACTACAATTTGGATAATATTGGTATTAATATGGAGGACTACTACACTTCCATATATATATATATATATATATATATATATATATATATATACTAGCTAACCCGGCAAACGTTGTTTGCCATAAAAAATATGCCTAAATTGACAAAAAATTAATAAAAGTGCCAAAAATCAAATATTTAATAGATTTGGACTCTGATTCTTTGACAAATAGTTAAAAACTTGTTATAATTTTCAAAATTATTTGACATTTCATACTTCAAAAATTAATTCACTCGCATCATAGTTTTTTTGTTTATTATACTTTTGTCATGTCATATATGTCAATGAAATTTTCTTTCAAATATTATTTATTTGTTAATAATTTAATAATTATTTTGAGTCATCAATGAATAATTATATAATTGTTAAATTCATTGACTAAATCAACACAGGAATATTGTGGAAATAAATATTTTTTTACATAAAGATCATAAAGATTTTTGACATTTGCATTTTATTTCAAATTAATTATAATTGTCAAAATATTTTCTTTTCGGTCAAAATTTAATATAATATGATATAATATTTAGTTTGTCTAGTTTGTTTTTGTCAGATTCGAATTATACCCTCAGATTGTACTATTCCATTTAAGAGGTTACGATTGCGATGACAATCAAAATATATCTTAACTGATATATTAATAATAATATTATATTTTAATTACACAAATTTCTTTACATTCCGATAAATAATTCCAACGCATCATAGTGCTTTGTTTATGTCAATTTTTTTTTTAAATTAAAGAATAAATTAAATTTGAGTCTAAATCAACGCAGTATCTTTATCTAAATATACATTTTTTTATATAAATATTTGATTTTTTACATTTGCATTTAATTGAAAAATAGTGAATGTCAACTTCATATATCCAATATGCACTAAATTTATAAATGTCAAAATATTTCCTTCTTGGTCCAAAATTAGTATAATATGATAATATTTATTTTACAATAATGTTTTGTATCTATAATTTGCTTGGCAATATTTCCTATAACATAACTTGGAATAAATAATTTATTTGCTTCTTTTTGAAGTAAGTCGTTAAACATTATTTTTTTGAAATGTCAAAATTTTGTTTATGATTAATTTTAAATTCAATATGCCGCTTATTGTAATCTGTGATCAATAATGTTTTAATGAAGTTTTGATTTCCGAAATAATTTGGTAAGCTAATCAATTAAATCTAAATCGTAAATCTATTTATATAATTATTTTCATAAATATTGACAAATGACATTTAATTTTTTTACATGGCAACATTTATTCAAATTTTTAAGTATTGATTTTTAATTAGATTTAAAACTATAAACAGTGATTTTGAATATAGCATTTCATCTAATTTGAATCTAAATGTTGGATATATCTATATATGTACATGTTTTTGAAAAAATCAAATCTTTTTTTCTCGAATTTTCCATAAATTTTGACATTTGTCATTTTAGTGTTTTGTTTTTTTTTTGGTCATTTTCTGTCAAAATTCTTAGAAATTTATAAGAATTATGTATTTATATTTTAAAATTACTTTTCAAAATTTCCTATAACCTAAGTTGGATATATACGCACACGATGAGCCAATAAACTTCAAAATCGGTTCAGTAGTTTGGGCGTCCATCGCAAACCAACATCGTGACACGAGGTTTATACACACACACACACACATATATATATATTATATATATATATATATATATATTATCTATTTATTTATCAATTATCTTTTATCTTACCTGTTGTCCTCCGGTGAGATGCCTCGCCGACCTCAAGGCGTGAGCCGGACCTTTTTCCGGGAAGGTCGCCGGAAAGATTTCTCCGGTCTTGACGTTGACTCCGGCCCCGTAGATCATGGGCCAGTGTATTCCGCCCCTGACTGCCGTGTTTAATTCGCCAACACAGGCCTGGGTCAGGTCTATTTCCACTGGGTGCTTGTGGAAAGCATCTGGGAAAAAAATAGAAGTATATATATATATATATATATATATATATATATATATATATTAGAAATATGAACAAACAACACTCTTCTTGCACTAATTTATTAAATAATAATTTTCACAAATGTTTCGAGACTAGGTTTGTCTCATCATCAGTGTGTTATAATTTGAAATTTAAAATATGGAAAACTAAATTAGCATTATGTGTTATCCGTTACAAGTCGTTCAATATACTGTCTTCTGCCCCACGAACGATCGCCGGAGTCTGAATTCTCTATTCAAGGTCAACTAGGTGAGTCATGAAATATCATATAGAAAAGAGAAGAAATAGGGCCCAGTTGGTAAATAGATGTCATTCTAAACATTATATTAGATGATAAAAAGAACTCTACTGACCAGCATCATAAATATAAATCCAAATGATATCAAAAAAGAACTTTACTGACGAACAATATATCAACCATGTGGATAAACATAAGACTCTACTGACGAGCAAACTAAAATTAGATAAATAATTAAGAAGAACCCTACTAACGAGAAATTTAACGAAGGCCTAAGAAAATCAAGAACGTAGATAAAATGACCTCGTAGATAAAAAAGAACTCTACTGATAAGCAAACTAAGCATAAGACTTAGAATATAATTATGGACTCTACTGACGAGCAAATTAATTTCGACTTGGTAGGTAAAAAAGAATTCTACTAACAAACAAACTAAATATAAGACAGAATATAATAAAGAACTCTACTGACGAACAAACATAAAATGAATGAAAAAGACTCTACTAACTGGCGAATTGAACAGCAATCCAGATAATATATAAGGAGAAAGAAGAGAAATTAGATAAATAATAAAAAGAACTCTACTGACGGGCAAGCAAAAGTATAAGATGACAAATTATAAAAAAAGGTCTCTACTGACGAGCAAACTGAAATTAGACATTAAATGATGAAAAGGACTCTACTGATGAGCAAACTGAAACAAAAGACATAAAATTACAAAAAGGACTCTACTGACGAGCAACTAGAAACTCGAAATAGAATGGAAAAGAGGACTCTACTGACGAGCAAATTGAAATACTAGACAAAAAATTGTAAAAAGGACTCTACTGACGAGCACACTAAGACGTGAAATATAAGAAAGGACTCTACTGACGAGCAAACCAGAAATCCAAGACAAGAAATATTAAGAAGGGACTCTACTGACGAGCAAACTGAAATACAAGACGTTAAATGAAAAAAGAGACTCTAATGACAAACCAATAAAATATTTAATTGCAAGAAAAAAGATAAAAAAATAATCTACTGACTAACAAATTGAGTTCGATATAAAATGAAAAAGAGGACTCTACTGACGAACAAACAGAAACTGGACATGGTAAATAAAATATCTAAGTATAAGATAAAAAACAACTCCACTGACGAGCAAATTGAGTTCGACATAAAATAGAAAAGTTGACTCTACTGATGAGCGAATTGAGCTTGAACTTGCAAAAATAAAGTTTGATAAAATACAAAATTGCGCAAGAGTCTCTTTGTGGATCAGAGATATGGACTCCAAGAAAGACAGACAAAAACTATCTGGATAGTTTCAAGAAAAAAATCTAAAGAAGAATGAAGAAAAACAATTATACCGACAAGGCAAGAAGTAATTTTCATTTAATGTTTTGTATTTCAGTTTGCTCGTCAGTAGAGTCTTTTTACAATTTCATATCTTGTATTTCAGGCTGCTCGTCAGTAGAGTCCTTTTTTCTGTTTAATCTTTTGTATTTCAGTTTGAACGTCAGTAGAGTCCTTTTTCTATTTAAGGTCTTGTATTTCAATTTACTCGTCAGTAGAGTCCTTTTTCTATTTCATGTCTTGTATTTCAGTTTGCTCGTTAGTAGAGTCCTTTTTCTATTCTATGTCTTGTATTTCAGTTTCCTCGTCAGTAGAGTCCTTGTTCTATTTAAGGTCTTGTATTTCAATTTACTCGTCAGTAGAGTCCTTTTTCTATTTAATGTCTGTATTTCAGTATGCTCGTCAGTAGAGTCATTTTTTCTATTTAATGTCTTGTATTTCAGTTTCCTCGTCAGTAGAGTCCTTGTTCTATTTAAGGTCTTGTATTTCAATTTACTCGTCAGTAGAGTCCTTTTCTATTTAATGTCTTGTATTTCAGTATGCTCGTCAGTAGAGTCATTTTTTCTATTTAATGTCTTGTATTTCAGTTTGCTCGTGAGTAGTGTCCTTTTACAAGTAATGTCAAAAATTAGACAGGAAAAAACTCTACTGTCTGAAAATAGTTAGATGGAACCCATGATAGGGAAGATAAAAATGAAATAGCTAAAGGATAAATGATAGATAATGGATTTCACAAACAAAAAGTGCAGAAAATTGTAAACATGGAAGCAGAAGCTCGACACAAGTAAAAAATACACCATGGACAAATATTATCATGTTGTTTTATAAAGTCTTCATACAATCTCAATCATTAATACAAGTGTAATAATGCACTAAGGCGCCGCATAGGGGCCCCTTTTGCCTCTACGAGTCTTCGAACCGAGCAATTAAATTAAATTAATTAATTAGACTCTCGGGCTCGTAATATTTCAATAAACACGCACGCATTATTACGGATTATAAAATTATCGGCCTAATTCATAATAAAAGATTGTGGACATATCCAACCTTCTGATCATTAAATGTAACTAGTTGGTATTGGTATTTAGCCTTGAGGCAAGTTACATGAACTTTCCCGATATTGTAAAATAATCCAGACTTATGAATGAAATTAAATTAATTTATGAGTCATTAAAAGTATTTCGAGTGGATTTATTACACATAGTTGAAAAGGAATGGACACGTTAACTCGGAGTATTTTCTAAAAGCAAATATTTTTCAAAAATCAGTAAGTTTTATAATTGAACCAGTTTCCGTAGGTTTAGTATGTTCATTAAGACCAAGTACTATATCGTTATATCAGTGAATCGTCTATTTCAATTTTAACAAACTCAAAAAAATACTCATTTTCTCAACTTTGATGATTTTTCAAAATTAAACGACTTGTCGTAGGCTGAGTTTAATTACCAATATATTATAACTGCATCAAAAATTTTGTGGTACATTTTTGGGCACTTTTTGAGGTAACGTTAAAATTAACTAAGTTATCTTAAAACAATCTTAGATACATTTTGAAGATAATTATCATCTACATTTTACTCTAATATTGTATTGGTGTGTCGATAAGATTTTAATACTAAAAATTGATTCTAATCATAAACAAGTGTATAATTAATATAAATCAAAGTGCAAAACGTATATTTTAGTATGATCTAGAAGCATGGTATCTACCCTAAATAAATTACATTAATCTGTTATTTACAAAGAAACGGCTTGGCTGATTCGTTGCACAAAACTGACAAACAATAGTCCTCATTGACATATATCAAATGGTTTTTTAATTTTTGAAATCGGTCAGCAGATTTGAGAAAATTTTTGTCAAACATTGCTGGCTTTGATAATGCATTTCATATTTCTGTTATAGTAAATAGATTCTGAAAAACCCAAGTTGTTCGACAGTAGAGTCCTTTTAGAGTTCATCTGCTGTTCAAGTTTTGCTCGTCAGTAGAGTCCTTTCTCTATTTCATGTCTTGGTTTTAATTTTCTCATCAGTAGAGTCCTTTTTATTTAAAAATACGCGTTTGCTTTGACAGTAAATTCATATTTTTGTGTTGCCTTTTAATTTGGTTCTCAGTAATATCCAATTTGTTTTTATTTGTCAAATAGGCAGTTTGCTCGTCAGTAGAGTCCCTTTCTACCCTATTTCTAGAAAAATACTCAGTTTGTTCGTCAGTAGAGTTCCTTTTCTAATTTATATCTAAATTACGAAGTTTGCTAGTCAGTAGAGTTTTTTTTATACCCTATTCCTGAATAAACAGTTTGCTCGTCAGTAGAGTCCCTTTTGAAATCGTCTTTTATTCAAGTTTGCTTGTCAGTATAATCTTTAATATTTTATTTCTAAAATACACAGTTTGCTCGTAGGTAGAGTCCCTTTTAAATTTGTCTGTTTATATTTGCCTCATCAGTAGAGTCCCTTTTCTTAATTATATGTTTTAATTCAGTATGCTGTCGTCAGTAGAGTCCCTTTTATTTTACGTCTCAGATTTCAGTTTGCTCGCAGTAGAGGGTCCTTTTCTAACCTTTGTCTGAAAAAAATATCAGCTTGCTCTCGTCAGTAGGTCCTCTTTAAATCCCATAACTAACTAATTAAAAACTCACTTTCAATCTTAACTAAATACTTCGAATAGCATTTAAATTTCTGAAATCGTCCAGCCGGTTTTGAGAAAACGTCGATTTACGACAAAAATCTGTTCACACACACACACACACACAAACACGCACATACTTTTCCAAATTTGGTCTCATTCGATTCAGAATGGCTCGAAACGTCGAGAAAACATAAAATTAGCGAATCGGGATTTTTTGATGAAAACATAAACTTCTCCTTCGGGAGTCAAAAATAAATCAATATTTAGTAATAATTCTAACCGAATGATGACACACATCTGTATCGAAACGTACAAATATTGTCAATAACTGTTTCATTGGAAATTATTTTCCCTATATAAATCTTCATCCCTTAATTATAGGTCATCTTATTCCTCCTACTATTAATCTGCATAACACACAGCATCCCTTAACTTGTCTGAAATTTCTCCAATCAATTATCTTGACCATGTACCCCCCATCCCTTGTCAATTTGTGGCTGTGCAGTGGCGGCGCTTGCTGGACATATCGAATGTCTTGCAAGGGATGATAATATATACCCCTACATACATCGTAGAATAATAATGAATCGGCTATCGAATTACCGTTGAATAGATTTTGTATTATGAAATATTACGTTATACGATGATGAGGAATTGGAATAGATTCTGTACGAAGGTAATTAATATATATATATGTATATATATTTAAGGGTGGTTCTTGATATGGACATTTTCGAATTTCTTTGCTCCCCAAGGGCTCAAATGCTTCCAAAGGGATAAAAGAAAATTCTCTGAAAGTTTTAGGTCGTAATATTAACATTTAGATAGTCCGCAACTCAATTAAAAGTTCGTATTTTTTGAATATTTTCGAATTTCTTTGCACCCAAGGGCTCAAATGCTTCTAAATTAATAAAGAAAAATTCTCTAAAAGTTTTAGCTCTTAATATTAACATTTAGACAGTCCGCAATTCAATTAAAACTTTCGTATATTTATTATCAACATATATCATTAAGCAAATTCTTGAATACATTAGGTAAATTTATTAACTCCCCGTATGGTAGTTATAGTAATGGGCCGAAAATCGAAAATGAAAATAAATATTAGGTTGTCAAATATATCCCTTCCGCTTTTTTGCTCTTGGTTTATAATACAAAAAGGCGGAAGGAAGATATTTGACAACCTAATATTATAGAAATGTCTTTATATAGTTTGTCAGTAGAGTTCTTTCTCATATATTCTATGATGCTGCTAATTTTTTTTATTTAATGTTTTGTGTTTCAGTAAAGTCATATTTTTACGAATGAATTGTTCATTTATTTTCTGCTCAATAGAGTCTTATTTCAAAAAATGCTATGTATTAAAGTTTATTCGTTAGTAGAGACTCTTTTCTATTTTTTAGGAATATTTATATTCTTATTTAAATTCGTATTAATTGTCCAGCAACATCCTATATATCTATTTCATTTTTTGCATTTCAGTTTGATCGTCAGTAGAGTCCCTTTTTGTATTTTTCACTTTGCTATTTAGTTTGCTCGTCAGTAGAGTCCTTTTTTGTATTTTTCACTATTATATTTAATTTGCAAGTCAGTAAAGATCTTTCTTGTGTCCTAGATTTTGCAATTTAGTTTAATCTTTAGTAGAGTCCTTGTAAATGTCACTTTGGTATTTAAATTGCTCGTCAGTAGACTCCTTTTTGTATGTTTCACTTTACTATTGAGTTTGCTTGTCAGTAGAGTTCTTTTTAACTTTCCGTAGGGTAGTTCTAGTAATAGGCCGAAAATCGAAAATGAAAATTTTGGCATTTCTCGACGTTTTGAAGGTTTCTGAACATTTTAAAGGGCATACCTCAGAAACTAAATGGATGTGTGTGTGAGTGTGTATGTATGTATGGATAAAATTTTTCGTCCACGTTTTCGGGCGCACGGATCAACCGATTTGAATGGTTCAAAAAACAATCGATTCCTATCGATAGGGAGATGTGCTGATTAGTTTTTTGGCAAAGGTAGGTCCAGCCGTTACGGAGATATAGAGCAAAGAGTGCAGAAAATAGAAAGCGAGTTTTTGAGAAATCGGATCATCCGATTTGTATGATCCAAAGAACATTCAGTTCGTAATGACGGGAAAAAGTGGTTATTAGTTTTTTGCAAAGACAGGTCCCGCCATTTCCAAGATACATAGCTAAATGTGCAAAAAATGGTAGTTTTTGAGAGAACTAAGCATCCGATTTGAATGATTCAAAAAACTTTCTGCTTGTATTGACAAAACAATTGCTTTTGAGGATAAAAAATTATTACATTCTTTTTTTTCCATAAAATATTTTTGTAATTTATTTTAGATTGAAAATTCAAAAAATTACCTAAGCACAGTCTAAGCGCCACTCTGGTACAAATGTTCACCCAAGTGCGTTTAGACTGGAGCACTTTTCTAATTTTGTGAAAATTATTGAAAAATGTGAAAATGCCGCCAAGCTAAGCACAGCATAAGTGAAAATGTCGCACAGAATTATTTGCAAACGCGTTTAGACTGTTTCAATTTTGTGTAAATTAGGCAACTATTTTTTTAGAATGAAATTGAATTCGAAATGAAATGACGATTATTAATGTTCCTGGAGATAAATTGATTTATGATTTATGATTTACATTTGATTTGCTCAGATATAACAATAAGATAGCAAAAATAATGAAAGTTACACTAATTGTAATAATATATTTGAAAACGTTTAAAATTCCTCGAATATTTCATTACGGTACGGGAAGTTCCAGCGATTTGCCTTAAGGCACGATGCTATACACCACTAGTTTGTATTTATTGTAATGAATAAGTTGATCGGTGTCGACGAAAATTAGTATCCACACACACACACACACACACATACATACACACATAATGAATGAGACTTCGCTCCTGAGTGTAATTTCAGTGCAAGAATGATAACATTCTAGATCCTCCCCCACGAGGTTTTTGTAGGTATAACACCCAGGCGGTATTGAGTCCGGCATAATCAGACAAAAGACCATACATAAATTGATTTAATTATGAAAGTTACAGTATTTGTAATAATATATTTGAAAATATTCAGTATCCCTCGACCATTTCATTACGGTACGGGAAGTGCCAGCAATTTGCCTTAAGGCACGATGCCATACACCACTAGTTTCTACTATTATTTGTTTTACTCACGCATAATATTATAAAATAGTTCTTCGCTATAACCGTGCTGATCGCTGAATCCGCCAATCAGCTGCAACTCTATCCTTCCCTCGGGATAACCTAAGGCGAGTTCCTGGACGCGGGCGATCATCCCAGAGGCGGCCTCTTCGGTGCCCGCGCCGTCCAGGTGGGCGAGGGCGACGGCACCGGAACCTTAGAAAAATATCTTATATATAATAATAATATATTTTTATTATATTCTATGTTTTATAAGTAGATAGTGTTTATTTCTCGGCAGAAAGATACAAAATACACCTAAGTCTGTTTTTACACGGAGATTGGTTCCAGAAGAAGCCGTGTAAAAAAAAACGTGTAAAAAAAGACATTGATCTTATACAAAAATGGGTGATTTGTTCCTAATCTCTAAAACCTATTAAAATTGGTGAAAAACAAGGATTTTCAAGAACAAGAATTAAATTAGTGCTATTCACATTTGCTTTGACCAGTAAAAATTGTTTTAAATTGCGCTAAAGAGGAATTCACTTAAATCTTTAAGCTAGTGTTCGCAAACTATCGATACTATCGATGGTTTCAGACTTTTTTCTTTCATAAATACTTATTTGTGATATGAACATACTTCGCAAAAATTTAATTTGACAAAAAAAATTTAGGTACATAAAATTTCAAATCGTGCTAAATGGAATAAATTCGTGTAAAAAAATTAAAAATATTCAATTTTCAAACCGTGTTATATCCAAACCGTGTACAAAAAGACCGTGTAAAAACAGACTTAGGTGTATTTACAAAATATTCTTTTCAAATATCTCATTATTTTATCTTATTCTGTTTATAAATAATATTCTTACATTCTGCAATATATGTAATTTTATCTCAAGCATTTTATGTTACTAACTATATATGTATTGTAATTTTGTATATATTTTAATTGTTATTCATTATGTAAAATAACTGTATTTTTGAGTCCTCTTGGAAGAAATCTGTGGGCTATATATTTAAATAACTAGTGGGGCGCATGGCATCGTGCCTTAAGGCAAATTGCTGGAACTTCCCGTACCAAAAATTATTTTTTTTTTTGAAAAGATTAACATTTTTTAAAAAAATTTACTCTAAAAAAAATAGATTTTTGAGGAACTATATAAATTTTTGACAAAAACTTACTTTTTGTTGAAAAATTTATTTTGAAATATTTTGGAAATTCTGAACTTTTTTTCAAAGCAATCGTACTGCTTTAATGCATAGAGACTAAATATCGAAGCGCGTAAGCGCCGCGTCGCTGTCTAACGCATAAGCATTGGTACGGAACCCATAGGAATGTTAACAAAATGTATACTCATTGTTAAAATCTCTATAAAATATCTGATAATTTGATGTGCATATGTCTAATGTCTAATGATTATTGTTGACCGCCAAATGTTATTTTTTTTTACTTTTTTTACTAGATCTCTGAAACCGCTAGACCTAATTTCATAAAAATTTCATCAAATCTTCATCTTGATAATGCAAGTAAAATGTTTTTGAATTATTCAAATTGCTTCATCCCGATTCCCGAAATCGTCGACGAAATTTGTATCTGAACACACACAAATGCACGCACACACACACATACACACACATACATCAATTTTCTCTAAGGTATGCCAATATATTCAGAAACCTTTGAAACGTAAAGTTATATAAAAATTTTCATTTTCGATTTTTGTGCGATTACTATAACTTACCCTACGGAAAGTTAATTATAAATAAATCAATTTATCACCTCCAGAACATTAACAATCGTCATTTCATTTCGAATCAAATTTCAAAAAAAAAAAATAGTTGCCAAATTTCCACAAAATTGAAAAAGTGCTCCAGCATAGTCACAGTCTAAACGCATTTGCAAATAATTCTGTGCGATATTTTCACTTATACTGTGCTCAGCTTGGCGGCATTTTCACATTTTTCAATAATTTTCACAAAATTGGAAAAGTGCTCCAGTACACAAACAGTCTAAACGCACTTGGGTAAACATTTGTACCAGAGTGGCGCTTAGACTGTGCTTAGCTTGGGTGATTTTTTGAATTTTTAGTCCAAAATTACAAAAAAATTTTTTTGAAAAAAAATTAGAATCAAAAATTTTTTTTTTCCAAAATCAATTGTTTTGTTGAAAAAAGCAGAAAGTTCTTTGAATCATTTAAATCGGACGCTTAGTTCTCTCAAAAACAGCCATTTTTTTTAAATTTAGCTCTGTAACTCCGAAACCTCTGGGCCTACCTTTGCCAAAAACTAATCAGCACATCTCCCTATCAATAGGAATCGAATGTTTTTTAAACCATTCAAATCGGTTGATCCGTTCTCTCAAAAATTCGCTTTCTATTTTTTGCACTCTTTGCTCCATATCTCCGTAACGGCTGGACCTGCCTTTGCCAAAAACTAATCAGCACATCTCCCTATCAATAGGAATCGAATGTTTTTTAAACCATTCAAATCGGTTGATCCGTGCGCCCGAAAACGTGGACGAAAAAAAGCGGACATACAAAACACACACACACACACACACACACACACACACACACACACATCCATTTTTTCTGAAGTATGCCAAAATGTTCAAAAACCTTCAAAACGTCGAGAAATGTAAAAATTTTTGATTTCGATTTTTGGACGATTACTATAACTTACCCTACGGGAAGTTAAAAAATAAATAAATAAATAAATAAAATATGAACTTAATTAACTTAACTTCAAGAAAACATCAACTTCCCGTAGGGTAAGTTATTGTAATGGGCCGAAAATCAGTATTGAAATTTTTTACATTTCTCGACGTTTTGAAGGTTATTGAACATTTTGGCATACCTCAGAAGAAATGGATGTGTGTGTGTGTGTGTGTGTATGTATTTATGGATACAAATTTTCGTCAACAACCGATTGGAATGGTTCAAAAAACATTCGATTCCTATTGATAGGAAAAAGAGCTGATTAGTTTTTGGCAAAGGCAGGTCCAGCCGTTTCGGAGATACGGAGCAAATAGTGCAAAAAATAGAAATCGAATTTTTGAGAGAACGGAGTATCCGATTTGAATGATCTGAAAAACATTCAATTAGTAATGATTGGGAGAATTGTTTATTAGTTTTTGGCAAAGGCAGGCCCAGCCATTTTGAAGATACGCAGCTAAATATGTAAAAAATGGCAATTTTTGAGAGAACTAAGCGTCCGATTTAAATGATTCAAAGAACTTTCTGCTTGTCCTAACAAAATAATTGATTTTGGAAAAAAAAATTTATGTTCCATTTTTTTTTTTTTTTTTTAGTTTTTTGTATATCAAAAATATTTATTTTCAATTCTGACTATAGTTCTAATATACTTTACAAATAATTTCAACTCTGCAATTCAGTTTATATAATTCTTATAAATATTAGACAATGTTACAATATTAATAATAATCTACTTAAAAACATTCAGTATTCCTCAAACATTTCGTTACGGTACGGGAAGTTCCAGCAATTTGCCTTAAGGCACGATGCCATAATTTCCTCAAGACAGAATTCCACTTACAGCTAGTTTTATGTTTTATAACTAGATAGTGTTTATTTTTGTGAGAAAGATACAACATATAAACTTATTTTTATTTATTATTATACGCTGTTTTGTTGCAAATATAGAGAATAAAGTTTTTTTTAAACTTCTCTTAAGACTAGAAACTAATTTTTTTATATTGTTATATAACAATAATTCATGTTATAAATAGTCATTGATGTTATATAGTCCATAACACTATGACTGGAGCCACTTTTTCACTTTCAATGCAATTTTGATTTCTAAGATAGAAAAGAACTCTACTGACGAGCAAATTGAAAATGTAAAATAAGTGAGGACTCTACTAACGAGGAAATTCAATATCGATTTCGAAAAGCAAAAAGAACTCTACTGACAAGCAAATTGAAAATGTAAAACAAGTGAGAACTATACTGAAGAGGAAATTTAATTTCGTTTCAAAGATGACAAAGAACTCTACTGACAAGCAAATTTAATTTCGGTAATGAAGACAAAAAAGGACTCTACTGACGAGCAAATTTAATTTCGGTGATGAAGACAAAAAAGGACTCTACTGACGAGCAAATTTCACATCGTTTTCAAGGATAAAAAAGACTCTACTGACGAGCATATTGAATATAAATTTCGAAGAGGAAAAAGGACTCTACTGACGAGCAAATTTAATTTTGATTTCCAATTTTAAAAAGGTTTCTACTGACGACCAAATTGATAGAGTAAAATAAAAAAGGTCTCTACTGACAAGCAAATTTCATTTAAATTTCGAAGATAAGGAAAGACTCTACTAACGAGCAAATTTAGTTTGGATTTTGCAGATAAGAAAGGACTCTACTGACGAGCAAATTTAGTTTCGATTTCAAAGATAAAGAAAGGACTCTACTGACAAGCAAATTTAATTTCGTTTTTGCAGATGACAAAGAACTCTACTGACGAGCAAATTTAATTTCGGTAATGAAGACAAAAAAGGACTCTACTGACGTGCAAATTTAATTTCGGTGATGAAGACAAAAAAGGACTCTACTGATGAGCAAATTTCACATCGTTTTCAAAGATAAAAAAGACTCTACTGACGAGCATATTGAATATAAATTTCGAAGAGGAAAAAGGACTCTACTGACAAACAAATTTAATTTCAATTTCGAAGATAAAAAAGGACTCTACTGACGAGTAAAATTAATATCGAATTCTAAGAGGAAAAAGGACTCTACTGACAAACAAATTTAATTTCAATTTCGAAGATGAAAAAGGACTCTACTGATGAGAAAATTTAATTTCGATTTACAATATAAAAAAGGTCTCTACTGACGACCAAATTGATAGAGTAGAATAAAAAAGGACTCTACTGTCAAGCAAATTTAATTTAGATTTCAAAGATAAAGAAAGGACTCTACTGACGAGCAAATTTCATTTAGATTTCAAAGATAAAGAAAGGACTCTACTGACGAGCAAATATAATTTCGATTTCGAAGATAAAAAATGACTCTACTGTCGAGCAAATTTAATTTCGTTTTCAAAGATGACAAAGAACTTTACTGACGAGCAAACTTAATTTCGATTCCAAAAACAAAAAAGACTCAACTTGCAAGCATATTTAATTTCGATTTAAAAGGTTAAAAAGGACTCTACTGACGAGCAAATTTAACTTTGATTTCGAATAAGAAAGAACTCTACTGACGAGCAAATTTAATTTCGATACCAAATAAGAAAAAGGACTCTACTGATGAGCAAATTTAATTTCGATTTCAAAGATAAAAAAGGACTCTACTAACGAGCAAATTTAATTTCGATAACAAAGATAAAAAATGACTCTACTGACGAGCATATTGAATATAAATTTCGAAGAGGAAAAAAGACTTTACTGACAAGTAAATTAATAGAGTAGAATAAAGAAAAGGACTCTACTGACGAGCAAATTTAATTTCGTTTTCGAAAACAAAAAATGACTCTACTGACAAGCAAACTTAATTTCTTTATCAAAGATAGAAAAGGACTCTACTGACGAGCAAATTTAGTTTCGATAACAAAGATGAAAAGGGACTCTACTGACGAGCAAATTCAATTTCAATTTCAAAGTTAAAAAAGGACTCTACTGTCGAGCAAATTTAATTACAATTCCAAAGATAAAAAAGGACTATACTGTGGAGCAAATTCTAGTTCGATTACAAAAATGAAAACAGGACTCTACTGAAAAATTAATTATAACAATGAGTAGATAAAAAGACTCTACTAACGATCAATATATAATATTAAGAACTGTACAAGCAAGCAAATTGAAATTTACCTTGACAAAAAAAAAGAATTCTACTAACGAGCAAAACAAAAAGCACTATAGACGTTAAAAAGGATTTTTACTAACGATTAAATTTAATTATAACCTAAAGAATGAGAAAAGGACTTTACTGGCGAACAAACTTAAATTAATTTTCGAAAAGAAAAAAGGACTCTACTGACGAGCAAATTTAATTTCGATAACGAGGGTGAAAAAGGAATCTACTGACGAGCAAATTAAATATGAATTTCGAAAATAAAAAAGAGACTCTACTGACGAACAAATTAATGGAGTCAAATAAAATAGGGTACTCTACTGACGAGAAAATTAAAAGTATAAAATAAGAGAAAGAACTCTACTGACGAGTAAATTAAAAACTAAAACTAAAACTAAAACGAGAAGAAAAGAAAATTTTTATAGAAGAGTAATTTAAATAAAACTGAGAATATTAAAATAAAAGTCTTAAAATACAAAAAACGACTCTACTGACGATCAAACATACTAGGCCCTAAATGAATCAGAAACATGGACTCTAAGGAAAACCTAAGACGATTTAAAACGAAATTTTCTTATGTGATTCGACAAATACTTTAATAAAAAATAATTTTTCTAATTTATTTATTATAATAAATTATTTATTTATAATTACCTGAATGTCGTACAACTACGATGATACATGTCGTCGCATCATCGGAACCAAGAATATTTACATTTCCTGCAAAAACAATATAATTTAAATAATTGACAATAAAAAAAATAGCCATAAATTTATAAAGACATTATCTAATTAAACCGATTTCGATGGTTCAAAAACTATTAGACACTTTTTTGGAAACATTCTAGACATCTTTCATTGTCTTTGGAAACAATGGGAAACATTCTAGACATCTTCAAAATTTGAAATGATTAATAAAGAAATTATTATGTTTATTATTTAGTAAGTTTAATTGTTTATTTTACTACTTTTCTTACTGTAAGATGAAAAAATATTTGTTTCAATTAAATTATTACTCACTTTTATCTTACACTTTGTATGAAATTTATGCAAATAAATTTTAAAATAACCAACATTTATCTTAAACAAGATCCGTTAAAAAGATACGAATCTCTTGGATATACGTGAGCTGATTATTAATTTGTTATTAATATTATAATAACAACTTTTATAAATAATATCATATTGTATTGCATTTTATTGCTACGACCTTGGGGAGAGAATTTGGGTTAGGGACGTCTTGGTAGATTTTTGATATATATATATATATATATATATATATATTTATATATATATATATATACTAGATGCCCCACAGACATTGTCCTGTACCTACAAATCAAAAGTTCGAAATTTTTTAATATCCTATCTTATACTTTTTAATATTGTAGTTAATGTCCTTCCATTTATGGTCTTAGCATAAGAAATTCAGATAAAAATAATATAGTATCTGCGGTAAAAGAACAATATCACATTTGATTTTACAATACAACATAATTGCTTCAATAATTTAGTCCAGTGATTCCCAACCTTTCATGGGCTACGCCCCACTTTAAGGTCTCAAAAAATTTTGAACTTTCAAAAATTGTTTTGTTCCTGAAGAAATGTAATTGATAAATTTTAAGAAAAAATTGCTATTAAATTGTTATCAAAACATTATATGTAAAATTTCAAAATATGTAATAACTAAGTGGCATTTTGCCTCAAGGCCAGTTGCATGTACTTTCCGATATATTCCTAATCGATAGAACTTGAAATTCAGCTATTTATATAATTTCAATCAATGCAATTTTCAGTTAAATTTCAAACAATTTATAATATTTGTTTTGATGTGTATTAACGTGCTTGTGTGTCTTGAAAGCAGTCCTTTATTCTCAATTGTAATTAATTTATATAACTCAACCAATTTCCGTATGCCTCTACTATTTTCAGGTGTTCGTTTAACTCTGTCGTCATGTAATGTTGAATAAAAAACGATAAAAAACTATTCAACACAATTTCCAAATAATATCTATAGATCGTTTTTTCAATTAACAAAATCGGTTCAGGATTTTTTTGCGAAAACGCATACAATTTTATTTGCACTTTTCTGCTAATTTTGAAGAAACGACTTGGCCAATCATTTTGTAAACCCAATCCAAGCTCCGATCGTCAAAAACGTGAAATAAAATTATATGTAATTATATTTTTTATTACATTAAGGTAAGGTGAAAATATCTTACATTTCAAAACCGGAATAAAAACATGTAGTCATTAACTTCCCGTAGGGCAAGTTATAGTAAACGCAAAAGAATCAAAAATAAAAATTTTTATATATCTTTACGTTTCAGAGGTTTCTGAATATTTTGGCACACCTCAGAAAAAATGGATATATGTGTGTGTGTGTGTGCGAATACAATTTTCGACTGTATTGAATAACTGAGTGAAAAATAATTCGGTTCGTACTCGATCGCGAGTCGTTTTTGCGAAAGGCATTTTTGGCGTTTCGGAGGTATGGAGCGCAAAGGGTGTAAAAACAGTCATTCATTTTTTGAGAGATCCGATTAGATTAAATCAAAAAACATTTCGCTTAAGTAGACGGTGTGCAAAAAATGCATTTACAGAAAGTTTAGTAATTTTAAAAATTTTCAAAAAATGAATCTAAGTTTTCAAAAAATTCAAATTTTCGAAATTTTTCATTATTTTCAAAAAAAACTAAATTTTGAAAAATTAAAAAAAAAGATTTTTTACAAAAATTTGAGAATATTTCGAAAAAAAAACGAATATTTTCAAATATTTCCAAACTCGTAAAATATTTAGAAAAAAATGTCTAAATTATCAAAAAATGGACTGTTGTAAACATACATATAAGTTGTTTATGAAATACGCTCGTGTCCCAATTTAAAAAGCACTTATAAATCTACAGTATGTATTCATAATAAATAATCTATTTGAAATTATTTAAAACAACTATTGATTATTTTCATTCCTCGAATATTTCGCTACGGTACGGGAAGTACCAGCAATTTGCCTTAAGGCACGATGTCATACACCACTAGTTATTATTATTGTTATCCTTACTATCGTGTGGAGCAGTGGCGGCCACTTCCCTCTGCTGCACGTAAAGGAGCCCTTGAGGGCCCACAACTTTGGAGGGCACCGCCAAAAGTTGGGCGGCGGTGTCCCTGTAAACCGGATGGGCGGCGAACAGGGACCTCGTGTCGGAGGGACAGTCGTCCTGCAGAACTCCATTTAATACCAATACCATCCTGAAGATAAAAGATACATACATAAATAATATTTTCTATTTATTTCGACAATATTACTATATTTCTATAAATCAAAAAATCCTAAAAAATCCCTTAACAAACTCCAAAAAGATTTATCAAAATCCGAATAATCGTTCAGGAGTAGTATCTTTACATACGTCATTACAGAACAATTTTATATATAAGATAATTTCTACAATATTACTATATTTTTATAATCATAACATACATCCTAAAAAAAATCCCTTGACTAACTCCAGAAAGATTTATCAAAATCCGAATAATCGTTCAGGAGTAGTATCTTTACATACGTCATTACAGAACAATTTTATATATAAGATAATTTCTACAATATTACTATATTTTTATAATCACATACATCCTAAAAAGTTCCCTTAACAAGCTTCAGAAAGATTTATCAAATTCCGAATAATCGTTTAGGCGGAGTATCTTTACATACATCATTACATAAAAATTTTATATATAAGATAATTTCTACAATATTACTATATTTTTATAATCATAACATACATCCTAAAAAAAATCCCTTGACTAACTCCAGAAAGATTTATCAAATTCCGAATAATCGTTCAGGAGTAGTATCTTTACATACGTCATTACAGAACAATTTTATATATAAGATAATTTCTACAATATTACTATATTTTTATAATCATAACATACATCCTAAAAAAAATCCCTTGACTAACTCCAGAAAGATTTATCAAATTCCGAATAATCGTTTAGGAGGAGTATCTTTACATACATCATTACAGAAAAATTTCATATATAAGATTATTTCTACAATATTACTATATTTTTATAATCATAACATACATCCTAAAAAAAATCCCTTGACTAACTCCAGAAAGATTTATCAAATTCCGAATAATCGTTTAGGAGGAGTATCTTTACATACATCATTACAGAAAAATTTCATATATAAGATAATTTCTACAATATTACAATATTTTTATAATCACATACATCCTATAAAATTCCCTTGACAAACTTCAGAAAGATTTATCAAAATCCGAATAATCGTTAATAAAACTTTTTTTAAACTTTTCTAAATACTAAGAAACCATTTTTTTGATATTGTTATATAACATTAATTGATGTCATAAATAGTCATTGATGTCCATGATACTGTGCTTGGAGCCACTATTTCACTTTCAATTCAATTTCGATTTTTAAGATATAAAAAGACTCTACTGACGAGACAATTTAATATCGATTTCGAAGATGAAAAAGGACTCTACTGACGAGCAAAATTAATTTCGATTGCAAAAATAAAAAAGGACTCTACTGACGAGCAAAATTAATTTCGATTTCGAAGATACGAAAGGACTCTACTGACGAGCAAATTTAATTTCGATTTCAAAAATGAAAAAGGACTCTACTGACGAGCAAATTTATTTTTGTTTTCTATAACAAAAATGTAGAATGACTCTACTGACGAACAAATTTAATTTCGATTACGAATATAAAAAATGACTCTACTGACGAGCAAATTTAATTTTGAGGGTAAAAAGGACTCTACTGACGAGCAAATTAAAAGTATAAAATAAGAAAAAGGACTCTACCGACGAGCAAATTAATGATATGAAATTAAAAAAGACAAAACTGGTGAGCAAATTAAATAACAATGTGGAAAATATGAAAGAGCCTCTACTGACTAGCAAAATGCATTACAAAACATAATAAAAGAGACTCTACTGACGAGCAAATCAAAATAACAGAGGCATAATGTATAAGGATTCTACTAATGAACAAATGAAATAGCATCCTGGATCACAAAAAGAGGACACTACTGACGAGCAAATTAATTTAGATTTCAAATAAGAAAGGACTTTACTGTCGAGCAAATTTAATTTGGTTTTCGAAAAGGAAAAAAGGACTCTACTGAATACTATATACTACGGACTCTATATTTTTATAATCACATATATCCTAAAAAATTACCTTAACAAACTACAGAAAGATTTATCAAAATCTGAATAATTGTTTAGGCGGAGTGTATTTATAGGCATCATTTATTGTTACATTATTAATAAACTAATTATTAATTTTCAACTAACCGTAGGAAAAAAATTTTGTTTCTAATTTTTTTTTCAAAAAATACTTTCGTAATTTTGGATTAAAAATTCAAAAATCACCCAGGCTAAGCACAGTCTAAGCGCCACTCTGGTACAAATGTTTACCCAAGTGCGTTTAGACTGTCTATGTGGAGCACTTTTCGAATTCGAATTATGTGAAAACTATTGAAAAACGTGAAAATGCCGCCAAGCTAAGCACAGTATAAGTGAAATTGTCGCACAGAATTATTTGAAAATGCGTTTAGACTGTGACTATACGGGAGCACTTTTTCAATTTTGTGTAAATTTAGGGAACTTTCAAATTTTTTTGAAATTGAATTTGAAATGAAATGACAATTGTTAATGTTCTGGAAATAAATTGATTTATGATTTATGATTTATGATTTACATTTGATTTGCTCAGATATAACAAGATAGCAAAAATAATGAAAGTTACAGTATTTGTAATGATATATTTGAAATCGTTTAAAATTTCTCGATTATTTCATTACGGTACGGGGAGTTCCAGCAATTTACCTTAAGGCACGATGCCATACACCACTAGTTATTATTTTTTATTATATTACACTTATTTTTGCTTGCATAATTTTTAATCAAAAGTCTCCGTTTTGCTTGTTCAGATATCGAAATTGCTAAAATTGTTTATCTAAATTCTAAATAATTGTTTACTATGACGATTTATAAATATTTCGTTAGATATTCTCGTTATCAGCTAGATTATAAACAAAAATTCCTCATTGATTTAATAGTTGCTGATTTATCGAAAGTCCAAATTGCTGATTTTGCTGAAATTTCAGTATTTTAAATTTTGTGATAAAAATGTTGATTTTCGTGTATATTTTATATGTTTTTACTGATTTTATTCCCTGGACGTTTCAAGTCGTTCTGAATTGTTTTACTTAAAAAAACTTGGAGAAGAGCAATTTGCATTTAACACGATTTAATTTTATCGTAAAATGTATACATATATATTTTGTACACCTTGAATTTTACTGAATTTACTAAAAAAATTTATGATTTATACTGATTTCTCTAATTGATTTTTGCTTGATATCATAATCAACTCATTTTTAATTCAGTAACTGAATTGACCAGAAATTTAATGATTTTTTCATTGAATGTTGCACTAATTTATTTTACTAAAAATTTTAATGAACTCATTTTAATTTATTTTTGCTGAATTGGCTTTAAGTTTTGTTTATTTTTTACTTATTTTACTAATTGGTTTTTGCTTAATATCATAATTGACTCATTTTTAATTTAATTTTACTAAATCATTAATTTATATATACATGTATACCGAAAACCTTAACGCGTTTTAAATTTATTTTTGCTAAAGGGTATGGGCGCATTGCCATATAGAATCGGCCCCACCCTGGTATTTAAATAATTTATACGCCATTTTATAGGTCTAAATGATAAAAACCGATATACCAATTTTCAACTTTCTATCTCATCTTATGGCCGAGATATCATTGAAAATATGTGAAAGTGGCCCCTTTTTTCAAACTCACTTTTAGACGTAACCATAAAAGATATCGAAAAAAAAATTACGTGGTTCTATTCATATTGGCTTAGGCCACATTATGTAGAACAATCGATGCCAAATAATCAATTATTATTAGCTGAAAAAGATAAAATAATTTTTCAATTGATGTTTTCCGGTAGTGCGTTTAGTTGGACCACCTTCTAATTAGCTTTATTCGAAAGATTATTGTTTTTCTTTTAGTACTGAAAATATTGTTCAAATCAATTTGGTGGAACACATTGGAAAATTGAAAAAACCGGAGCTAATACACCCGCGCGTAACGCTAATATACCCTGCAATTGCATAGAGTTCGTTCGAACGCAAAGCTGTGCGCGATGCGCCCGAAACGATTTCTAAGAAATTCTGAACTTTCATTTCTGAATCTGAAATACAATTTCATTTATTTATCACTGTGAGTAATTTAATTAAACTAATAAAAGTATTTTAATTATAATATTAGACATAAAAATTTATTGGTGTTCTTTTAATATTTACAAGTGTATCATATGATTTACACAAATACTTCGGTATGCTAAATAAATAATCAATCAATTAAAATTATATTTTGTTATTTTAATCGTCATCACTGTCGTGGTTAATAGCAACCGAAGTTTCCTCTATTATAAAAATTTTCGATAGTATTTCTGATGGACGTATAATACGTGATAAATACCTCGCAAATGACATATAATATATAATAGCCGCAATATGTGAACAGCAACCACAGTCCTCAATCCATTGGGACAACTACAGCAATACCTTAAAATACTTCGATAGTTGGTGCCAAGCGGAGTATATTCAATATAAACATTATATTTTTTCCTATTTATATGCCGTGATTGGACATCAATTCTAATTATATTCCTATGTTCTTTTACGTAATATAACTTCGGCTGATTTTGGTCAGACAGCATTTCAGCCAGGTAAGATATTGCTTGTGATAACTGGTATGACCCTGTGAATAATATTTTAAGTTCTCGTTCATTCAAATGTGGAAAATCTAATAACTGATCTGGCTGAAGAAGTTGAAGTGTTGTTGCTCGTCTGGTCCATCGATTTTCAATAACTTCATCATGTAAGGTGTTGGGTATAGTCCGTTCATTCATATAGTTGATCACTTCATCAGCTAAATCTCCATCCGATGATAATCGTTTTCCATACTTATTATGTAAAAACCCTACAATTTTACATAATGTTCGGACTTTAGGCAATAATTTATTATTTAGTGTGTTGTGTAAAAGCCGATATCTTTGCGCAATATTACCATGTACAGCTTCAATAACCCATCGAAGTTTTGTAATTCTTCTGGATTCGTTCGCCTCTTCTGTTGTGAGTTGTTTTCTTCTACCCCTGCAGCATGGCATAAGAGGCAC